CCTAAATAATACAAAAAGTCAAAAAGTCACTATCCTATTTAAGTCTCATCATCTTATTTAAATCACATCACCTCTCTAACGCATCACATCAAACCCCACCCAAACCCAACCTATATAAGCCAATAAGTTAAAAAGTGTACTTTTTTAGAACATCCCAAACCAACCCTTAGTGTGTTGCGGTTTCTCATTGGCCGATACTAGATCATGTAGATAATATAGTACTCTGGAAGTATCTAATATTTGTGTAAAATTATGGAGATGCAAGCATGTTTGTGTAAAAATTTTTTTTTCTGTCCCACTAGAAAGTAATTCTCCTATTTTGTAAAACGAGTACATTTATTTATATATAGAATTAAATTGTAAAGAAATATTAAAAAATTACACCTCATCATAACAAAGATATGGTAGAAAAGTATTTAAAATACACATAAAAAAATAGTAAGGGTTATTAGAGATATATCCTTATTGGTTGATAGGGTTGCAGAGTCAAGTTGAGTCAAACTTTAGTATATTTTGCTTCATTTATTAAGATTTTAACGAATTCGTTTTCGAGTTCGAATTCAATAAAAGTTTAACGAACCGAATTCGAATAAGTATTTACTGAGCTAAACTCAAACATGTTCATGAATGACTCTGTTCATTTGTAACCATATTAACTGATATATTTCATCATTTATCACATATCAGACTTCGTCGTGTTGACATTTATATTCTTATGATTTTTATGTGCTTTAATTTTATATGTAATAAGGAAAAGCTTATGTACTAACTAATAAGAAATTTTATATTTGTGATAGTGAGAATTACATAGTTGAGTTAATGACAAACAATGATGCTTTTCCCACTATGTAATTTTGAGGAATTGGAATTCCATTGCCATGCCATTTGAACTTTTTTAAAAGGAAAAAAGGAATAAAAGTAAAAATGTCTTTGAATCAATGCATTGAGGAATGATACCTTTCTTAACTTGCTCTAACTTGGATAGTTCAACTTAATGCATGTAAGGGTGTAAATTTGGCTCGGCCCGGCCCATGTCAGGCTGAGCCGGCCTATGCTCCAGAAAATTAGGTCTAGCCCAGGAGGTATTTGGGGCTTGGTCAGGTCGACATGCCTAGGCCTGGGTGGGACTGAACATTTTTTTTTCTATTTTTTTCACCAATATTTTTTTATTTTCCACCAAAAATGACACTGGAACTCGAGCGGGCCAGGCTTAAACTAGGCTTTGAGTGGGCCTTGAACGGACTGATGGGCTAAAGTAAGAGGGCTAAGCTCATAGGTCGGATCAGGCTTCAAAACACACGGCCCAAGCCCAGGCCTAGGGTCTCGAGCTGGGCTTGGGCCTAGCTGAGCTTAGTCGGGCCGAGTCCACTAGAGCCGCGGGTGGGTTTTGTGCTATCCACAAGCCATTTTTACAGTCCTAGATGCATGGAACTTAACAAGAAGGTTCCTTGCATTTTAACCCACAAGTCTGCAAGGGTAATTTGATTCTCAAAAAAGAAAAAATAAAAATGCAAGGGTACAAACATTACGTGTCAAAATCATGGACATGAATCAGATCCTAGTTATATTTTGTAGAGAGAATTTCAATACAGTGGGATAAACAAAAAAAACTTACAAAAACATGTGGGGTGCAAATGATTCTATAATAGGATGCAAGTGAAAGGCAGTGGGCATGCAATCTTTGTGTAAAATATATTTTTCCTGTCCTACTCGAATGTAATTCTTCCTATTTTATAAAATGAGTACATTTATATATATTGAACTAAATTGTAAAGAAATATTGAAAAATTGCACCTCATCATAACAAAGATATGATAGAAAAGTATTAAAAATACACATGAAAAAATAGTAAGAGTTATTAGAGATATATCCTTGTTGGTTGATAGGGTTGCAAAGTCAAGTTGAGTCAAACTTTAGTATATTTTGCTTCATTTATTAAGATTTTAACGAATTCGTTTTCGAGTTCGAATTCAATAAAAGTTTAACGAACCGAATTTGAATAAGTATTTACTGAGCTAAACTCAAACATGTTCATGAATGACTCTGTTCATTTGTAACCATATTAACTGATATATTTCATCATTTATCACATATCAGACTTCGTCGTGTTGACATTTATATTCTTATGATTTTTATGTGCTTTAATTTTATATGTAATAAGGAAAAGCTTATGTACTAACTAATAAGAAATTTCATATTTGTGATAGTGGGAATTACATAGTTGAGTTAGTGACAAACAATGAGTGTTCATCCAATTTTATTTGTGATTTTTTTATTAGTTAGTGACATTATGTACGATGGTGTCATTAGCACGGGTGATGATGCCAACTAATTGCGATCATCTCTTCTTGTGATGATGCGATCTTGGATCTCAGCTCTCTTTACCATGCTTGTACTCTCCTTAATTTTAATAAAAAAATTTCTTTGCTGATAAAAAAACATATGATAATATGATTGTTACACTAATTATTTGTTGTCCAAAACTATATTGAAAAGTATTCGGAAAATAAAGTAACATGAAATAATATAACATATTTTATTTTCAAGATATTTTTTCAATATTAATAGTATGTACACATTTTTCTTAGGGTAAATTACACAGAATCCGTAAATTTGATACAATTATATTGAATCTCTTTTAGTAAATTCAAAATTGATTGAAACTAACGCATATGGTATGAAAATATAAGAATACGGAAGGTGAAATTTATATTTTAGTATTATAAGGTAAAACTTGAAGAAAAAAGTTGTGCAAGTTTTTTTTTTCAGACTAAGATTGAATCGATGGGAAATGAAACCTCTCGATCAGAAGCCGACAAAGATGATGCAGACTGCAAAATTACCTCCCAATGAAGGACGAACAGGTAATAAAGCAAATTAATTCCTGAGCACAAATTACAACTATTTTTTTATTTTATTTTTTTGTTTGATCATACGATGTTAGATGTTAGTAAATCAGATTATAATGAAAAGGCCGTAGTCACTCTAAACCTTTTACCTTCTCACTATCTCAAGTGATAGTACATAGACCACTCAGTCAACTGTCGTATCCAATTTCAACTATGTTATTCATGTTATTCTTGTTTTGAGATTTCTACTAATATATACTCACTCCATCTCATTTTATTGGTCCATTATTTTATTTTTTATTATCCCAAAATATATGTCCACTTTGAAAAGAAAAAATTTAAAATTTCTAAAATTATCTCTTGTAAAGCAATTATAAATATATTTAAAAATGAGAATATGAAGGCATTTTTGGAATTTTATTCTTTAAAATTTGGATTCAAAGTGTAATGATTATGTCTCCTTAAAAAGTTTGAATTTTGAAAAGGGATTAATAATTTGAGACGAAGGAAGTATGTATTATCGGGTGGTACACGCGATGCGTGTATAATTTAAATAAGTAAAAATAAAAGAAAATAATAATGAAACTAATATTGTGATGTTTACTTAGCTTAAGTGGTATTAGTTCTCTTACGTTAAATCCATAGTCATGGGTTCAAGTCTAGCCTTCCTCTTTGTGTGACTTTTTTTTTTGTTTTAAAATAGAAAAGTAAAGATTTCACTACACCAATAAGGCCTTCACTTAATAATAGTATAAATATATATTATCTTATTTTATTTTATTTTATTTTATTTTATTCAGACTGTTGTAAAGTTCACAGCTTCATGGTGTATGTTTTGCGAAATCATAGCACGGCTTCAAGCCAATTATCCAGTGATTGCATTGACGGTTCTTTTGCCTCAACGAAGATGATTTCAAAATTACAAAGTGTAGAAAAATGAAAAATTAAAAGAAAAAGAGAGGGAGATAGAGAAAGATGATTGAGCAAACAATCGGGATGATTGAGTGAACAATCAAAGTAATCATTAATTATCTCTACTCCTATGCTTCAAAAAGGAAGTGTATAAAATAAAGTGCGGAAAATATAAATGACAAGAAAAATATATATCAATTGTCTTTGATTTGAGTTGGATGATTATAATGTAGCTATAAATGACTATTTATAGGCAAAAACTTTTAGGAAAAAACTATCTAGTAACTACCCTATTTTTCCAGCTTCTCTATTTCATATTCCATGATCTTCCACGTCATTTCTATGTCTCCATAACTTCCTTTAACCTTCACTTTATGTTCCATATTCTCCACTTTGTCGTCCATCATCTTTTCACATGTGTTTAATACTTCATAACTTCTTATATTCTCCAAATAAGTAGGAGAATGCCACATGTCCTGCAATTATATAAATAATAAATAATTTTAACTGGTTTGATTTTGACTTTAAACTTTTTATTTTGTCTTAATTTAGTCGACTTCATTACAATTGTTAGAGCATTGTATTATGAAAAAATGTACACATGAGCCACATGTGTCATGTTTTTAGGAAAATATATATATATATATATATAAACTTGATCAATTTAGTGAGTAAAGCTCAACTACCTCAATGATAATTTTCTATCAAAAATCCATAAAAGAGTTATCAAATAGATTAAATTGATGAGTTCAAAAAAAAAAAAAAGAAAAAAAGAAAAAAAGAAAAAAGATTAAATTGACACAAATTCTAATGTTTTTCTTTTTTGATTGGCGAAAGTCAGTTGTTATTTGTTAGATTAGCATCTATGGAAGGTAATCTCCCTACCTTTATAAAGCAAGTTAGTGCTTGCCCCCATAATTCAACCCTCCTAGGGAGAGTTGAATCCATGACCTCTCCTTAGGGACTAAGCGTTTAGGAAAGTCATGGTGGCTAATTATGCTAAGTCTAGTTGGTTACACAAAATCTAATGTTAAGGGTAAAAATTAAGCCAATTGAAAGTGTAGGAATCCAAATGACACAAGAGGAAAAGTGTAGTGACTACTTGTGAAATTTGCCTTTATTTATTCTATTCTATTATTATATAAAGTGTACACCTGACTTAGTATGAACGCTGTTACATTTTTATTTTTTTAATAATACCCTTCTCACTCAGTAGTTGTCATTCCGTTCCATCCTATAACTGTTAGATGATTTTTCTTCTCCATCAAACAATTCAAAATTGCTAATCAAATATTCTTATTCGTCAAACTATCTAAATATATAAATATAAAATTATCAACGTATCGGATTTACACCCACCACTTATGTATAATTGTATATAAACAATTTAAATAAATTTTATAAAATGTTTATAAAAAATATTATCTTATAAGTTATACCTTCCATTGCACAAGTTATTTAATAAAGAGATTTCATGTGCTCGAGGATTAATCGAGGTGAATCCTTGATACCACGGTGACATTCATCAATTTTCAATTCTTTTTATTTATTTATTTTCAAAGTAACAATAATTTTTTTTTTTAAAAAAAGAAGAGGATAATACTACTAAATACTGTGGAAAGTGCAGGATGTGGCTCCGAAATATGACGTTGAACATGACAACTGTATAGCGCTAATGGCGATGAAGAATTGGTGGGATCCCGATAAGTATGTAGCGCTCAAGAGGGATAAACTCAGAGAGATGCTCAAGCCCAACACCCGAGTTAGTGTAAATGTTGTTGCATATTTTATTTTTTCAATAATACTCTTCTCACTCGTCTCGTTTGACAAGTGACTTTTTTAATCAAAAAGTTAAAAAGTTATTAAAAAAGTCAAAAAACCAACAATCTATACCAAAAAGTCAAAGATTTCATTTTCTCTCTACTTTTTCCATATCTTTTTGTAAAAAGTCAAAAAGTCAACCCAAACATACTAGTTTTTTTTACATCATATTTTAGCCAAAAAATCAAAAAGTTACTAAAAAAATCTGTTCCCAAACGAGGCCAATTGTAACTGTCATTTCTGCCATCCAGTAACTGTTAAATAATTTTTCTCCTCCATCAAACAATTCAAATTTGCTAATCAAATATTCTTATTCATCAAACTATCTACATATATAAATATAAAATTATCAACGCATCGGATTTACACCCACCACTAATGTATAATTGTATACAAACAATTTAACTAAATTTCATAAAATGTTTATAAAAAATATTCTCTTATATTTTCCATTGCACAAGTTATTTAATAAAGAGATTACATGTGCTCGAGGATTAATCGAGGTGAATCCTGGATGCCATGGTGACATCCATCAATTTTCAATTCTTTTTATTTATTTATTTTTAAAGTAACAATAAAAAATTTAAAAAAAGAAAAGAAAAAAGAAGAGGATAATACTAATAAGTACTGTGGAAAGTGCAGGATGTGGCTCGGACATAAGATGATCCAACGTTTATAATGATGAAGAATGGGGAGAATGTTGGTAAGGTTATAGGAGCCAACAAGGATGAACTCAAGGGCACGATAGAGAAGCTCGAGGCCTAATACTAAATAATTAGTTTATATTATACTATATATCCCAAGAAAGTACAGAAAAATGATGTTGAGGCACTAGTCTCCATGGATTATATCTCTAAATAAGATCTTATGTATCCATTATATTACATCTCTAGATAAGATCTCATGTTTGCCTACAAAATATTACATCTCTAGATAAGATCTCATGTTTGCCTACAATTCTCTCTCTCTCTCTCTCTCTCTCTCTCTCTCTCTCTCCATAAATTGAATGAAGTTTGGTTTTGTCATGGGGTGCTAAGCCAAAGCCAATTTGATCAAGCAACATAGTACTAAGAGTTAAAAGGACTAGCTTCAATGCAAATTATAAATCAATTTATGGAATTTTGATTAGAGATCTTTTATTATAAGTTTATAAAATTAAAAAAAAAATGCTAGTTGGATTCTCAAATATCTTTACCAAAGACCCTCATAATAACGTTTGAGGAAATTCAGCTCCTTTCACTTTGTTAAAACTTTAATAACTTTTGATTTAGAACTCCATTTTCAATAATATATATATTTTTGAATCCTATCATTACGATTTATCAAATAAAACCCTTGCTGAATTTGACATTTGGATAAAAAGTATAAAATTTCACTATGTTTGCATTCTATGATAGTGAAATTTCACTGACATGAAGTTAGTGAAATTGGCTTGGTGCCTTTGTGTCACGCCCCCAATTTCATTACTCGGATAATTTACCAAATTTCCTCATAAAAGTCAATTTCCAATAATAGTTATGGAAGTAACACAAGCTAAATAGAATAAAAGAGGTTCACTTTCGCATAAATACAATGATACTACAAATGGTCACAACAATAATCACAGCACATGCTAAAAAGGCTTACATAAAAGATTTCAAAATACATAATTACATAGAAAGAACCACCTCAACACAACTATCCTCTAATCTTTCATTCACAATTTACATAAGACATACTCATAATATAATAAGTAACTTATTGATCTTCCACATAACGATTCTAGTTTAGGCCCAACCCGTTTATTGTTTTGGATCCGGGATTCCTTGTCTTGAATGGTTGTTCATATCTTTATTCATTTTATTTCTTGTTGAGTTTGGTTGTTGCAGTGTCATTGTTGCGTTTGGAATAGGTTGGGAGTTAGTTTTTCAAAAGAGTTGCTGCCTAGAATTTGGCTTGTTCGCTCGAACGATCCTTGAGATCTTCCAGTATTTTTGCATGTTTGCAAAAATACTAAGAGTGTGGTATTCTTCGCTCGAGCGGTGTTTCTTGCATTCGAGAGGTCTTGGCTCGAGCGGTTGGCTTCTTTCTGCAAAACTTCTGGAGGGGTGTCATTGTGACATCGAGCGGTCACTCTGTTCGCTTGAGCGGCCTCACCTATTGTGTCTGTTCACTCGAGTAGTGTTTTGTTCGCTTAAACAGTCTGCACGTATATCAGTTCGTAAAAATCACTTTTTGGATCACTTTTGCATTTCTCTCTCTCTAAACATTTCAAAAATCTAGATCTACTCTCTCTCTCTCTCTCTCTCTCTCACTCTCTAAAATTCATCTTTAGACCTCAAAATACACCATCATCTTTTGATCTCTACACCATTGGAGAAAAAGATAGGGTACTTCGAGAGCTTCATTTTAATTTGAAAAGTTCGTGTTTTTGTCGACGTTGGGTTTTGGGGCCTTTGGGCTTTCTCCTCTTCCAGAATTGAGGTGGTGTGCATGTTGTTTAGCTTCGTTATTTGTTATTTTTGTTAGTTATAGGTTTTCAAAAAAGTAGTTTTGGATATATATATATATATATATCTATTGACGCACAAATTTGGGAAAATACATGTTTTTGGTTAATGTTTGGGATTGGTAACCTAGTGGTTGTTGTGTTATGAATTTTTGAAGAAAAACTTAGTTTTTAATGGGTTTCCAAAGGTTAATAAAAAAACTAGGGTTTTGGGTGTTTTTATGGAAAAAGATGGAATTAGAATGGCTGTGGGATTTTGGTTGAAATGTGGTTTGGTTGGGAAATGTTTTTGAATTATTAGAAAGTATTGAGTATTATTTACTCTTTTGAAATGGTTTTGTTGGAAACAATATGAATGGTTTTGGGAAAATTGTATATTTTCGGTTGAGATTTACAAGACTCGTATGGAGTGTGAATGTTGTTTTGAGAATTATGAGATTTTGTATAAATCGTTGGGATTCCAGTTTGGTTATGGTTCTTTTTAGAATATTATTATTATTGTTGCCTTTACATTAGAGATAATTGTTTTGGCAATTAGTGGAGGGTTGTATTGATCATTGTAGAAATTGCATGTGGATTAGGGAATGGAAATGTTTGCAAATCATACATCGCATTGTGCATATCATGGATTTGTAATTGGAGATTTCATGTTTCGGAAAACATATTGTTATTTTGAGATGCATGTATTGTATTACTAGAAAGGTAAATAAAATGGTGAAGCTGTAAGGGGGTGTTAAAGAAAAATTAATTTGGCCTGTGTGTCCATGGTATAAGACCTAAACCTATGCGGTAGGTGCTGAGTCTTCCGGTTAGTACCGGTACAAATGGCATAGTGACTTGTATAGTTACTATTATGAACACTAGCCTTGGAGATTTATTCATTATATTACCACTTGATTGTTTTGAAGGAATATTGTTGATTTGGAAAGATGCTTTGGAAATCTCGCATTACATTGTTTCAAAAAGGAAAAAATGTGTGCTTTATCATGACATTTCATGTGCATACATATTATGACATTGCTAAGCTTCATACATGTCACTAAGTTTATTTCTACTGGGCTTTATGCTCACCCTATGAGGGAAACCACTTTTAGGTGTCATGGTGTGCCTTCGCCAAAGCGATGACTTGGGAGGATCTTGGAACTTGAGGCTCGTAATTATTGTTTCCTTGTTTATTTTATTGTAATTTAAGCCACAGGCTTCTTTGTATTGAGTTGTGACTCATTTGTTGTAACCAGGCAAGGCCCTGGAAATTTGTAGCCTTTAAGGCATTAACTTGTAATAGTTTAGCTTTATTCACTATAATAAGAATTCTTGTTGTAGAACTAAAGGGATGTATTGAGGCATGTATTGGAAATGACATTGTATAGCCATATTGTTGAGGTGTACCACATGTTTAGTGATATTATAACGGAGTAGAATGTCTAATTATTTTTGGGCCATTACAACTTGGTATCAGAGCCTACCGAGTTTGAATACTTTAGGTACGTGGGAAGTGGTTCTTACCATAATGGGTTTGTCTCGCTTAATAGAGATATTATATGGGAAGAATTGAGGAAGAATTGAGCACTTACTTCGGCTGAATTTGTTAAATCTGTTCTGATTGGGATGTCTAAGGGGAGGAAGTGACAACTTTCCTTTTTCCATACGGGAAGAATTGAGGAAGCAATTTTTGGAGTTGTGCCAGGGTACTACACCTTTGGCACAATTTGAGTCATGGTTTACTAACTTGTCAAGGTTCGCTCTGGAGTTGGTGGAAATTGAGGAGCTCCGTTTTACGAAGTTTGAGTATAGCGATCCCGGTTTTCCCTTCATTGTTTAATTGTATTTCAGACTTGGTTCCGTGGATGTGTTGTTGTCTTTTTCCCGTTTCCATCCTTTACTCTTTATATATGAGTCTTGGGTCGTGTTGGGTAGGTTTAAAACATGTTGGTTGTGTTTGGAAACCAAGGGTTAGTGTCCATTAAATTTTCATAATGGTTCATTTAATATCCTTATTAGTGGTTCAGTTACTATCCTTATTAGTGGTCCATTCATATTCAAACTTGTCCATTCATATTTCAACTAGTGTTCATTTAATTCTAACTTGTCCTTTCATTTTCCTATTAATGGGCTTTAATAACAACCTTTCAATACCAACTACATCAAGGTTGCCTATAAATTGAACTCACCTCTCAACATCTATGGTTCTTCCCATATCTCTCTCTATTTGGCTTGCTCTTCATTTTGATTCGAAAATTATTAGGTTTGGAGCACCTTCAAAATCCTTCATCTTCTCCATTTGGTCTCTCCATTTGAGGTAGGGATTCCTACTAATCTTTATGAGCTTTAACCTAGATGTTGGACTTTTCTTTAAGTGGTTTGATTTGGGAAGTTAGGGTTTTGAAATGTGCTATTTTGAAAAGAGGGGTTTTGTTTATTTGACTTATCCATACGTGTTTTGGGTCTAAAATAGAGATTGTTGATGTTGTTAGTAATATTTGAGCCTTTGAGTCAATATTGGAAAAGAAGGGAGAAAAGCCCTAAATTTTGATAAATTAATTTATATAATAAATTTTGGAAGATATGGAAATATGAAATTGAGTTGAATATAATGAAATTTGCTCATTATGAGATGGAACGGTGGAGTTGGATTATATTAATCATTCACTTTTAAAAATAATGACAATTTATCTGTTATAACAATTATTACCTGCTTAGAAATAATTGTTTTGGGCTACCGGTGGAGGGTAGTCTTGAGGATTGTAGACAATGCATAGTGATTAGGCAAACTAAAACTAACCAGTTGAGTATGCTATTGAATATGGCGGTTGGTATAATACATCAAAATTTTGTATTGATTGATCGAATTTGTATATGATAATTGCTTATATACATTGTTTTGTGTGGGAGGAGATGGTGGATGTACTCCACGGTTTATTGGAAGATGGGGGATTGACCTCTAAATCGAATTTTTGTTTGATATTGATACAGCACTAAAATGTGTATCATTTGTGAAGTATAGAAGTGTTTTTGTTTGATATTGATACAATACTAAAATGTGTATCATTTGTGAAGTATGGAAGCGTTTTTGTCTGAGATTGATACAGTACTAAAATGTGTATCTATTATGAGGTATGAAATTTTTAAAATGAGTTATTATCTCACCTGAAATAGAAATACTGTTGATATGAGATGTGATCTCGTTTAAACTGATTGGCCAAGTTATGAGTCATAGTTATGAATTGAGAATTTGATAAGAAATGGAAACTGGAATAGAACATGGACATAGTAGTCATGGGATTGTAATGTGTTATAAGTTGCTGTGTAAGAGTTAAACGTTTATCAATTGCTAATGTTTTAGTTACTGTTCATACTATGTTTAGCATATCTCTACTGGGCGTTGGCTCACCCTATATGGGATATCATTTTCAGGTACAGGTGTTATGCCACCTCCAAGGACGTAGCCTGGAAGGCTTGAGGCTATTAG